CATTCATTCTTTCATTCACCCTCATTTTTTCAGCCACCTTCTCCATTCTCTCTCTAATGTTTTTCATCTCCATCTTACTTCTCCTCCACCATATCTTATGATCTAACCATCAAAATCCTAATTTGACTCCATCATTCTTCTTCTTCCACCTCATTCTTCAAACCTTAAGCTTCATTTTCTTGGTTTGGCTTCAAAATTTTCAAAGTGCATATAAGAAAATTATTATATCTTATTTTTATTAACCAAAATTGATATTTAACTTGTTGGTTTAGTGTTTTTCCACTTAGTTTCACTTTGTGTAGTTGCTAGAAATTTTCTCCAATACATTATAATTCAATATATGTTTTATGTGCGTTGAATGTCTCTTATATTGGTTAGGCATAAATATGTTTGGTTAGTGTTTGATAAAATGTCTTGTGTGCAAAAATTGGATCTCTTCTACCTTAGACAAATCAAAGTCTTTAAGATATAGCTCTTGTTGATCTATAGAGGTGACATGAGGCTCTTTGTCTATGTCTTTCCTAGAAGAGGACATGTCAGTGGTATGAACTAAAACATGTTCATCCTTAGCTTTCTAAAGATTTCCTAGCAAGCCTATGATTTTATCAATTATGGCACTTTTGGTTACTACCATTTCTCTTCTCATTTCTTCCTTGACCATTTCTAGTTCCCTTTTAAAAGATAGCTTAAGCTTTTGTAGACACAAAGTGTTCAAATCCTCATGAATTTTGAATCTATAATGTAGCCATTTCCTTATCATAAGATCAATCTAGACTTCATCCTCATTAATCTATCCAAATGAGCTTGGTTCTGTATGTGATAAATCAGCTTTCTTCTTAGACACATTGGGTGTAGCTGAAGTAGAACAGGCAACAATGTGAGAAACTTTGTTTTCATCTCCATCTTCATTATCAATCATAGGAAGCTTCATCTTTCTTAAGGTTGTTACTTCCATGACATAGCACAATTTAATCTTTCCTTCTATATATTTAATCTTTTGATCATCTAAGATTTTAGAGATCAAGGATGTATATAGAAGGAATTGGGGGGGTCTCTTAAGGTTTAGGTTGACAAACTTTGCCATCTTCTTCATTATGATGTCTGCCACATTTACCATATGGCCCTTAAGCAAGGTTGTCATGTATGTAAATTCCTCACTCTAGAAAGCATTAAATCCTTACTGCTTGCATAGAATGTTCTGGTCAGGATGTGATGTAAAACCCTATGAGTGGGTGGCATAGATGCAAGTTTAGTAACTAGCTAGTCTAATAGGCTCCTGTCTGGAACTATTATTTTGAACATGTTTACTTTCTTAAATGAGAAATCAACTAGATAATTCTCTGTAATGTCAAAATGCTTTCCTCTTACAGTGACCCTTAGTGTCTTTCCCTTTTTCAAGACTTTCATTAATCCATAGAAAGCCTTGATCACTTCTTCACTATAAGGTAGATTGATGGTAATGAATTTCTTATAAGGATTTAGGATCCCTTTAATATCATATTGTTTGTGAACTAATTCATCTAAGTTAACCCACCAATAAGCCCCTAGCTTTTTCTTGCAGATAATTTCCTACAGACTCTGTATATTCCCTTTTAACAGATCATTGTAGCAATATTCTTTAAAATTCCTAGAAGCTTCTATGACTCTCTTTCCTTTTCTCTTACTCTCAATACTTTCTTCTCCTAGATTTATAGTATTAGAGCTTTCAATTTGAGAGGGTGCACCATCGAGTGTTTTCTTAGAATCGGAGGTAGCAAGAATCTTATTAAGAGAATTTATGTTTTGGGAGTTGCCTTCAAATAATTTGGAAGGTGATTTCTCAGCTTCCTTTATGCTTACTTTCTTCCTTTTGCCCGAGGATTCATTCTTTATTTAAGCACTCACAAATTGCTTAGCTTTGCCTAAAAGTTCTCAATAATTGCTTTGAGCTGAGGTTGATCGAGTGAAATGCTTTCATTTGGTGACTAATTCTCTAGCTTGTTCAAAATCTTCCATAGAAATCCCATGCTCAGAGATATTTTTTCTATGATCTTTGTTTTTTCCATATCTATAAGACGAAGCTTTGAGACCACTAAACGTAGTTAAATTAGATGATAAGGCGAGTAATCAAACCTTTAGGTCAGGGGGTTTTGTTTGGGAGCTATAGTGGAAGATAAAGTCAAGAGGAATTTGAAGATAATTGGTTATGGATGGCTATCGAAGAGAATATGATTTGAGAAGTTTGAAATTTAGGTAGAATGAAGCAATTTAGAATTTAAATAGAAAAGAATCATACTAGAAGTTGCCTTTTTACTAGTAGAATTAAGTTATAGTTAGAATTTTAAACAAAATGAATGGCTCATATTTCATCATGCGTACTTATGATACTAGTAGGTAGTAAGTATATCGGTAGATGCAATACATACCAATAGATATCATATATACCTATAGATTTCTTGTTTCTGATTCCTTCATTCATATCAGTCGATGCTTCTTCTACCCAAATGGCCAATTACTATCAATAAGTATTAGACATACCGTAGGTACTTTTATAATTTTTCACTCTAAACAGTTGAGCCCTGCAAAAACAAACTCAAAATACTGCAAAGCTTAAATCAATTTATTGATCATAAAGAAATCATAAAATAAAGAATTAAGAGATCTTATAGTTTATTTGGATTTAATAAACCCAATTCCTATTTAATGAACATGAATTGATTTGTACCAAGAAGGTTGGTGAAAATATCAACCTGTTGAAGATCAATTGGAATGAATTTAATGTAATATCCTTCTTTTGAACATGGTCTCTAATAAAGTGATGATGAATATCAATATGTTTAGTTTGTGAATGATACATAGGATTTTTCGTCTAACATATTATACTCATATTGTCACATTTGATTGGAACCTCTTTGAGTTTGATTCTAAAATCTTCAAGTTGCTGCGTCATCCATAGAATTTGAGTGCAACTAAGTCCAGTAGCAATATATTATAATTTAGTTGAGGATAAGGAGATTGTATTTTGTTTCTTACTAGCCCATGACATAAGTGATCCTTTAATGAAGTGACATTTCTACTTGTGCTTTTTCTCTCAATCCTGCATCCACCAAAGTTAGAATCTAAATATGTAATCAAGTATTTCTTTCCTCCTTTAGAATACCATAATCCCAAGGTACTAGAGTCTCTGAGATATCTAAATATCCTTTTTACTACTACAACATGTGACTCCTTAGGTACTACTTGAAATCTTGCACACAAACGTACATTAAATAATAAGTCAGGATGACTTGTAGTAAGGTAGAGGAGTGATCTAACCATTCCTCTATAAGATTTACGATCATAGTGTAATATCTCTCTTTATAAACCATAATTTACGAGAAACCCATTTAAGAGATTAACAAGTTTTAATTTCAAAATAAGGGATCCCAAGTTTTCATAATTGAAATGAGTTTAAATCAATCATAAACTCTTATATCAGAGTAAAAACAAGTTACGGAAATATGAGATACCTCAGACAAGTGAAAAAGAAAGAAACTAGTTGAAAAACAACATAATTACTATGTAACAGGGCAATGTGCCGCAGCTTGTGCACACTGCGCTATGGATTGTTGCTCTTTGTGCCACGCCCTATGGCTCAGGTGCCAATGCACTACAGTGTGTTGCACGTTATTAATAGTAGAATCGAGAAATCTCAGACGCGTCTTAATTTTCCATCCGACGTCTGAATGACATGATTAAGGTGTCTACAAAAAGCTCTTTTCATAAACTAGCTAATGGCATAGGTTTCACTTCTGCAATAATTCATAATAAGAAGTTAGACACCTAAACCTATTTTGATCACTTTTTACAACTTTCACACAAAAAGGGTGTCCAAAACCCACAATAAATGCCAAAAGTTATTCTTAACACTTAGACCATATCCATTGGACTTAGGACTATCACTATAACATGTCACATGCACTTAAATAATAGTATAACACAAAATCACTCCTCAACCCTTTTTTCACAAAAATAGAAGGGGAGGTAATTTGCTTTGTATTGCATTAAAATCAAACACAACATGTTTACAACATCATTTTTATACTTGCACTAATATTTTAACCCTATTAACAAATATATCTCATCATACACAAATACTTAGAGCTAAAATACAATTTAGATGTTTCCAATAACAGAATAGTATAAGTGCAAAAATATGCAACCTAGAATTGGCAACAATATTCTATTATACAAAATAATGTAAACTAGAGACATACAGTAAGAATGAATTAATTCCTAGTCTCTTGAGTCTTCTCCTTCTTTACACTAGAGCTAGAGCCTATAAAGTATTAAATTGAAAGGGTAAGTCTAGCCACTCAGTAATTAAGGTAATACCTACCATATGTAGTTATATATCAATTGTAAATCAAACATATGCATATGAACCAAGTTCTTAAATCATGTTTAACCATATATCAGAACTTATCATTACACCTTTAACTCATTTCCATCTCACATACCTTAAGTGCATTGCTACAATACATTTACACTACTACAAAATAAGTTTACAGGAGCGCTTTTTTTTACTTTAGGGAGTGCTTTTGAAGCGCTCTCGTATCGAGCGCTCCGAAATGTATAGGAGCGCTTAAAAAAAGCGCTCCTGTATATACGCTATACGGGAGCGCTTTTCGAAAAGCGCTCCTGTAAGGGAGCTACATACGGGAGCGCTCTCTACAAGAGCGCTCCCGTATGCAACCATACCGGAGCGCTTTTATAAAGAGCGCTCCCGTATGAACCATATAGGAGCGCTCTCTGGAAGAGCGCTCCTGTATGTTACTTTACAGGAGCGCTTTTCAAATGAGCGCTCCCGTATATTACTTTAATTTTTTTTAAATCAGATTTTTTGAAATTTCTCCTTTTACGTCTCTTTAATAATGACAAATCATAATATCAAAAACTAATTTAAAAATAATATTAACATAAAAATTTATATATAAGAAAAGAATTTGAAACTGATACAAAAATTTTAATTTCCTAACTAACCTAGTTTAATTTCTAACAAGCCTAACAAATGAAACTATTGTTATTTTTCTAACATTGAAATCTAACTTCCTATCACAAACAGCCAATAATATATTCTGACAACTCTTCAACTAAATCTTCTATTTGCTCCATAGTAAAATACGAACATCTTACTCCAACAAAATACTACACAAGATATGAAAGCAATATATAAGGAATTAACATTATATCAACTTAATTTTAAAGTTTTTGACTTACATTTTCAGGAATGATCAACTCTTGTTGTGTGATTACTTCTCTCATAAACTTCATAACATAGTATCCACACTCCCAACCTTGTAATTGTGTAGGTACCTATAAAACAATAAAAGATGTCATTATCAAAATATGGTGAAAATAAATTCTAACTTAATTTAAAATACTTCAGCAATGAAGTTATATATATGAATCATTTCATCAAGACGGTCAACATCATATGTCCCACTATCATGATCAAATGTTGAGTAGCTCGCACTATCCCTCCAATCATTTGCATCATTCCTTGTCTCCCCATGCATGGTTCAACAAGTATAAGTTGGATCAATCCCATTACAGATTAAATGATCTTTCAATTTTATTGGCTTTACTCTTTTTCCATAGCAACATTTCAAACAAGGACATATGACTCCAAGGGGGTCTTGATCACAAAAAAATGCAAATTCAATGAATTCATCCACACCATCCCAATATTCTCTAGATAGTTGATTAGCCGACATCCACTTATGATCCATATCACTAATATGATTATCAAAATTCAATAAACAAAAGACTTAGATTTCTATAAAAAAAATTCAACAACATCTTCCTTAAAAGAAGAACTTCCTAAATGATCAAACAATCAAATTCCACAACACAATACATTTAAACTCAAAAAATTAATTCATCCAAATAAAAATTTAGTAGCATAATGCATCTAAATTCTGTCAATCAATTGTAATTTAATTAATAACAATAATCTCCCTTAAAAGTATATTTCATAAATAAAATAAAAATGTTCAAGTAGTTTCCTCAACTTTAATCTAATTATCAACTACAAATACTCCATAATTCTAATATAAATAACTCCAATTCATATATTATCTATAATATTGATTATTAAAAAAATATATGTGAAATTTATTCTCAAATATATATAAATATATTAATATATTACATTATAAATTAATTATTAAAAAAATACCTTCACAGTGTAGTCTTCACGGCAGAAAACGGAAGTCTTCACGGCAGTAGCGGAGGTCTTTACAGCGTTGCTTCCTCGGCTGTACAGCAATGACACACGGCTACAACGGAGGTCTTCACGGTGTCGCTTCCTCCGGTGTACAGCAGCCGCACAAATCTGGAATAGCAATGTAGATCTAGAATAGTGATGCAGGAGATGGCGGTGACGGCGACGGCAGCGCAAAAACAGAGACAGATGGCGCGACATGACACAGAAATGAACAAACAGCGATGAACACTAATCTGGAACAACGAACAGCAACAGACGATGATTTGGAACAGCGAACAGTGGCGAACGACGATCTGGAACATCGAACAGCGGCGGATGACGATCTGGAACAGTGAACAGCGACGGAAGATAGACTGATACAGCGATGATCTAGAACTCGTTGGGAACGCACAACCTCAGCAAATGAGAGAGAGGTTTGAAAGAAACTCATAAATAGGGAAAAGAAAACTGACAGGAGGCAGAGATATAAAAGACCACCTCTTCCGGAGCGCTCATGATTGAGCGCTCCGGAAGAGGTGGTCTTCCGGAGCGCTCTTCAAAGAGTGCTCCGGAAGATCTCTCTTTCGGAGCGCTCTTTGACGAGCGCTCCGGAAGAACAATTCTTTCGGAGCGCTTATTAAAAGAGCGCTCCGAAAGAGTTGATCTTCCGGAGCGCTCTTTGAAGAGCGCTCCGGAAGATAGTCTTCCGGAGCGCTTAACTATGAGCGCTCCCGAAGGTCTTTTTAAATTTTTTATAATATTTTATTTATATTAATTAGGAGCATTATCTTATTGAAAAGCCCTGACATACAGGAGCGCTTTTCTAAAAAAGCACTCCGGTAAATTCCGCATTTACATTTTAGAGCGCTTTTTAAAGAAGCGCTCCTAAATACCCGCTCCTTAAGATATATTCTGTAGTAGTGTTAGATATGTGACCATGACCTATTATACACGTGACTTGCCACATCACAATCATGTAACACATCATAAGTTTACATAGGCAATGATTAACCAACCTTATACCCTCCTTATTTCCTTTAATTGAAATTGTAGGCTATAACACTGAATAAGGCTTTGTTCGTGTGACTGGACTATCTAAGCTCACCAATTGTAAGGTATGACACAGTCAAAGATCACATGACTCACTCTTGGACCACAGCTTCTCCTACTCTCAAATCTTTAGGGTGTCATACTCTCTAAGCTATTCTTCTTGATAAATTGGTAGAGAAAGCTAGGTTTTAGTCCTTCGACAAACTATAGGATAGTCCCTTAACAAACTATGGGATGGGGCTATACCCCCATGCATTAGAGGGTAGCCTAAATACCATATGAATTTTTTTCTACTCTTAATCTATAGGCAAACTCCCGCCCACTGATCATGCCATAGATGATGCTTACTCAATTTTCTCAATCTCAATTATTTAATATCAAATTTAACACATTAAGCTCATGACCATGTGCAACCCAAGTGAGCATAAATTCTTATTTTCACTTACATCACATAAAACCCATCATTCTTAATCGCTTATACTCATCTTTCTCAAGTTCATCGTCAATTCAATTACTCATTCAAAACACATTATAAAGTGAATTTCATTTTAAACATCACATTTGCCGCTGTAAAACTCATTTTGAAATCACTTTTGCATAGTTAATATGTAACATCATGAAGTTTAATCACAGGAACTAGTTGGTAATCAGGGATAAATTAGTAATTAGTGGATTGATTGTGGTTTGGATGTTGAGTTAATGTGTTGTGATATTTAGATGTTATGTTGATAGGATTGTAAAAAGGAATCAGAGGCATAACACGCTAGCACAAGTGAGATTGAACTCACTGTGCCACGCGCTGTGGTGAAAGCTGCATGCGTGGCAGTGCATCATCCAGGGATCACTTAAAGTTGACATAATCAACTCATAAAATTAGAAGGTAAAAGGCTATAAAAGCATCAGGAGGGGTGGAGATGTTCAACTCTATTAAGGCAAGCGATATTTAGAGCTTGGGAGTCTGCTTTGATTAAAAACTTGCTAAGTAAGTATCACATAATCCCAAGCTTCAATTCTATCCCCTTTTTCATTGAATTTCCTTGATTGAGAATTCAAGTTGTAAAGTTTTAAGGTGTTGTAATCTAAGAAAAGGTTTAAAATGGGCTATTGAATATAGAATTAAGGTTTTGTGACTAATATGGAGTTGAATGATTGACGTTTGAAGATTTAAGCTCATTTGGCCTAAAAAAGTTAGGATAAAGGAAGAAATTGGTTGAATAAATGTGTTAGGAGATTGTTATGGTCATTTGAATAGTCTATAGGGCTAATGACCATAAATAATGGATAAGTGAATTTAAAAAGGGTTCACTTAAACTGTTTTATCTATTAAGGAATTCAATTTAGCCGAATTAATGTGAAAAGGTTAGAAATTAACTAAGGAGCACTATGTTATATAGATTGAGCACTTGTGGAGTTGTTCATGAGAATCTGCGCCCCTGGAAGCTTAGTGTGATTGGTAACCCTTAGTAGCAAGGGTTAAAGGTAACTAGAGTAACCTTTTTACTTGTTTGTTTGTGAAATTATTTACAAGTACTTTGATATAACTACATGCATTTTATTATGAACTGATAAAGAAGCAGTATTGTGAAAGTATATGCATGCAGTGTGTGAGTATTGATTAAAATGAATTGAAAGTGGCACGTGCATTAACATGCATCGCATCCATGAGATATACCCTAAATTATAGTAAGGGGATACAACCCTACTGCGAGGAGGTCCAGAAACTCTTGATGATCTAGAGCGTAAAGCTTGACTCCACTAAGATAGACCTAAGAGAAAAATTTTGATGATTTAGAGCATAGAGCTTGACTCCTCCATGATGGACCTAGGATATTGAATGATCCACGAAGTTATCCTAGACTAAGGTAGGAGATTGTGGTCCTACTCTGTATAAGGCTAGGAAGTCCTGATGATCTAGAGCATAGAGTTTAACTCTGCCATGACAGGCCTAGGAGACTATCTATATGCGAAGAGGATTACCTGGTCTGAGAAGTGGTATAGTAGGCCCTATTCTTTGTGACTGGAAGTCCTGGTCTGAGTATACAGGTTACTCTACCAAGGAAAACTAGAAATGCATTGCATGAGCATAATGAGATTGATGAGAATGAATTCTTGTATATGTATATGATATTGTTTTTATTGATACACATGCTACTTTATTACTTGTTTATAATTTTTCTTACTAACTGGTAATTAGGGTTACCTCTAAGTTACTAGAATGGATGTCTCATTTTGTTACTTTTAAACACAGGTGAAGGGAGTGTGAGAAGGTCGGGAAAGGAAGTGAGGAAAGAATAGTTTTGCTTGGTAATGGTATGACTACCATTAAGTTGAATGAATGTATAAATTTGTTTATAGTATTGAGTTGCAAACTAAAATGCATAGATATATGTGAATATGAGAAAGTGAATTATGTTGTGAATCTTGCTTGTATATATATGGTGTTGTATTATGCTGAGGTGCCCCATTTGTGAATCTTACTTATATATATAGATAGTGTTGCATTATGCCAAGGGTATATGGCTAGGATTAAATGTGATTCAAGCAAGTATATGTTCTGTTGTAATTTGTTCCACTGGTGTATTTATACGATGATTATATGTTGATGTAAATTGTGTTGCTATGTGAGAACTGAACACAAATGGTGAGAACTTGACACAAATGGTGAGGCAGAGCCCTATTTGGAAGAGTTGAGTACATTTGTGATTCCTGACCATATGGTGAGATGGAGCCCCATATATAAGAGTTGGAGGGTTGAAAGTAGAATAAAACTAGTTGTATATATAAATATATGTTGTATATGTAAATTTCTCATATAAAACCACAATTTTGTAATGTGGCATTGAGAGGCTAGAATAGGCTATTGATGTGATATATGTGATATGTAGTGTCAATCAGGTGTATGTGGTCCTTTTGGACTTGATTCAAGGCTCGAAGTTGTCTAATGGGACAAGGAATGAGAATTGAGCACTTAAGGTGTAAGTTTTTAAAAGAAAAAGTAACTTTTTACATCTGAGTATTTAATTTTAGATTAGATCAAGTCCAAATTTATTCTATTAGCTAGTATACACAGTAAGCTTCGTGTAGGTACTTAAATTACTCCAATTAGGCGTGAGGTGTGAAAATGGTGCACGCCTAAAGGTCATCATTTTTGCTGATAAACGACAGCAAAAAATTTAGACTAGCACACCACGATGCATGACACAGTTAGAAACAAAGCGTGTGGCTCTGTGCCACATGCTGCAATGCATGTGGTACACACCGCGGCACACTACCCATTTTTATAATATATTATGTGTCTTTTTGAGTATTTTGACTATGTTTGTGCTTTTGCTAGCCCTTTTATTTGAATATATATTTTAAGAAGTCAGGATCCTACGATTTGAAAATAAATAAAGAGGTATTACTCTGATATTGTTGTGTTAGAAATTGTTGTTTGTGTATATGGGAATGGTAAAGCCCGAATTGAGTCGAGACTTTACATAATACACATCAAGCAATCATACAAACATAAGATTTTCATTCTATGTTAAACTCACCACAAGTTAAAATTCACAAACTAAACACATAAATTACATCATATGGAAATTAACATATAACTAGTCAAAGTAGGGTTTACCTAGTTATCTCAAACCTTTGAGAGGTTAAAAATTTACCCCTCAATATTATAGCTTCCAAGCTTGAATTCCCAAGCCAAGTTGGTGTCTAAGAGCTTAATCTATAATTTACCAAGTTAATCCTCATTAACATTGTCAAACACCACACATCAACTCTCATTTTCCACTTCTAGATTACCCAATGCCCACTTTGTATAAGTTTTGGCCTACTCATTGAGTTTGTTAACTCTCTCTAGTCCTTAATAACATTAATAAGCCATTAAACTGCTATTATTAACATTATACTCTTTTAACAACTATCATTAATGTTATTTTTGCATATGTATGAAGCCCAACAACCAAAAATGCCAAAATTCAATATATCTAGGTTTAGATACTCTAATTTACTCCCATTGACTCATGGATTTAGAACTATAACCTATATGGACCAAAAATCATCTTCCACTATCAAACCCTAACAAAAAACTCATAAATGTGGAATAGTTTAGAAGGAATATGTAACACTTGCCCCGAGTGTTATCCAAAAATCATACAATTCAAATAAACTAAGTGTGGTTAAGGAGTTAATCCTAAAACCAACTTAGA